CATACACATGTTTAAATTGTGTGTGCAACAGCACAGGTGTCGGGGTCAGAGAGCAACTTGAAAGTCAGTTCTCTCCTTCCAACCAGTAGAGTCCAGGGACTAAACTCAGGTTGCCAGCCTTGGCTACAAGCACCCTCATCATGAGCCATGTCATCAGGACTTGTTTCTGGAGACAAGGACTATCCTGTAGCCCAGGCTGGCCTCATATTCACTGTGTAGCTGACAGTGACCTAACAGATGTATGCTACTCCATTTGGACACCGATTTCCTTTGTACTCATTACTGTGGCGACCGGACAATGCTAAATTACATGCAATGTGTGCCTTTTTATTTTTTCCTTTTGAGTGCTGGGGATAGAACTCTAGGCCCTGAGAATGCCAGGCAAGAATTCTGCCACTGAGTCACATTTCCAGCTTTTTTTTTAATATTTATTTATTTATTATGTATACAATATTTTGTCTGCGTGTATGCCTGCAGGCCAGAAGAGGGCACCAGACCCCATTACAGATGGTTGTGAGCCACCATGTGGTTGCTGGGAATTGAACTCAGGACCTTTGGAAGAGCAGGCAATGCTCTTAACCTCTGAGCCATCTCTCCAGCCCCAACATTTCCAGCTTTTGTAATATTTTTCCTAGTATTATTCTAGATCAACGGTTCTCAACATGTAGGTCATGACCTCTTGGGGATTGTCAAGCGACCCTTTCACAGGGGTCACTTAAGACCATTGGAAAACAGATATTTACATTACAATTCACAACAGTAGCAAAATTACAGTTATGAAGTAGCAATGAAAATAATGTTATGATGGGGGGGGTCACCACAGCATGAGGAAGGTGGAGAACCACTACATACATAGTCCAGATACTTCAGAGAGCTAAGGGATCACTCTGCTGCCTGGTGACAGAGACCCTACGTTTGATAAAGAAAAGCAAGTGCCAGTGGTAGGGCCATGATAGTATGTGCTTTTGTACAAATGTCTGCAATCAATTTTCATCCAGGAAAAAAAAAAACACTGAACAAAAAACTGGGAGTGGTGGTGGCACACTCCTACAGCCTTGGTACTTAGGTGGAAGAGACGGTCGGTTCAGAATTTAAGGTCATATTTGGTTATGCATGAAGTTCAAAATTAGCTTAGGAAGCCGGGCAGTGGTGGCGCATGCCTTTAATCCCAGCACTCCGGAGACAGTGGCAGGTGGATCTCTGGGAGTTCGGGGCCAGCCTGGTCTACAAGAGCTAGTTCCGGGACAGGCTCCAAAGCCACAGAGAAACCCTGTCTCAAAAAAACAAACAAACAAAAGAAAAAAACTAGCTTAGGGTAGTGAGGTCTATCTTAAGAAAAATAAAGTGTTGGGGTATTTTTTTAGGTGATATTTTAAACAAACAATAAAAGAATACGTGACGCGCTATTAGTCAAGTCCAAGGTGAGCTCTGAGCCATACATCCCTCAATTTCAATAAATTAAAAACCTCTGTATTTGCCTGGTAGCTCACATCTGTCATTCCAGCACTTGGGAAACTGAGGCAGGAGGATTGCTGAAAGTTCAAGAACAGCTTGGGCTGCCCAGCGGAACTCAGGGCTGAGAATGGGATCGAGTGCGTGCTTAACATCCACGAGGCCCTGTGTTCCATCCCCAGCACGCCTGTCATCCTACGGGGGCAGAAGGAGCAGCAATTCAAAGTTATCCTGTGCTACACAGTAGGTTAGAGCCCAGCCTGGGCCACACAAGACCCTGACACAATGGGGGGGGGGGGAGTAAAAAAGAAATCCAGTTTCAAAAAGAGAAAGAAAATCTGAACTCCCGGGGTCGCAACTTCGGTGTTCCCCCCAAAACTGCCTGCAGCCGGGTCCCGGGAGCTCGGCCCGCCCTCACTCGCCATCACCTCTCCGCGCGCGCGCTCACCACGGCAGTTCGTAGTGGCCGGCGCCGCCCGCGGTCTTGCTGGGGACAGCCGAGGGCGCCGGCGCCTCACTCTCGGCCGCGCCACAACCGCTCTCTTGCACTTCCATTCCTACGCCGGCTCTTCCCGCCACCCGAGGCTCCGCCCCGTGACGTTTTCACGGAAGTCTCGGCCCCGGTTTCCGGGCAATCCTGGGAGGGGAGCGGAAGTGGGCGTGGGAGGCGGTCTCTTTCCGCGCCTGCGCAGAGAGTGCAGCGTGGCCACGCACTGGCCGCTAGAGGCCGCCGTGGTTGCAGGAGACCGTGTTTGACGGGCGAGGAAGGAGAGAAGGGCCAGATCGAGGAGGACGTCTCTCTAGGAAAGGACGTTTGTGTCATCTGATCATATTTTATTTAATTGTATTCTACTTCATTTTGTTTCGTTTTATCTTCACTTGTTTGGTTTCTTGAAACTGAATATTATCGCTCAGCAGCCTAGCCTGACCTCTGATTAGCGGCCATCCTCCTGCCTCAGCTTTCCTGATGGAAGGATTACTTTTTAAAGTATTATTTCAGACATGCGAGTGTTTTGCTTGCATGCACTTATATGCATGCCTTGTATGGGTACAGAGGAGGGTGTTGGGTCCGCTGGAGCTGGAGTTAGACTCTTTTGAGTTGTCATGTAGGTCCTGGGAATCAAATCCAGGTCCTCTGCAAGAATCTCTAGTTCTCTTTTTGTTTTGTTTTGTTGATACACGGTTTCCCTGTGTACTCCAGTAGACCAGCTGGCCTCGGACTCTCAGAGCCCCGCCTGCCTCTGTCTCCTGAGTACTGGGATTAAAGGCCTGCGCCACCCCTGCAGCGTTGAGCCTCTAGAACCTTTAACAGCCTGCCAGACATCTCTTTAGCACTGCCTCTCTTGGGGGAATAGGATTGCCTGTATTTTCTTTCTCTTGCGTTTTCTAGACAGGTTCTTGTCCTATAGTTCAGACTGGCCTCCTCAGGGCCGAGGTTACATATTTTATTTATTCACCTATGTATTTATTTGGTTTCTGAGAAAAGTCTGCTCTGTGGTCCAGGCTGACCTCGAACTCTCAGCCGTCCTCTTGCCTCAGCCTCCTCATTGCTGAGATTAAAGACCTGTGCCACGGCACTGGTCGTCAATGCAGTGCATAAAACCCTGCTTCAAAATAAAAGTCACGTAGAGGCCTGAGGCTGGCGTGATGGCCCACACCTGGAATTCTTCACTCAGAAGGCTGCAGTGCGGATGGGTGCAGAGAGGACAGAATGATTTAGATGGTGAGTGCCAGGCCAGTCTGGCACAAAATAAGATGTCTAAACAACAGAAGGGCTCAGGGCTCAAGCTACAGAGTACTTGTCTCTGTACACACAGAGCTCTAGGTTCAAGCCACAACGTCACTAAGTAAATTTAAAAAATGAAAAATTGGGGGCTGGAGAGATGGCTCAGAGGTTAAGAGCATTGCCTGCTCTTCCAAAGGTCCTGAGTTCAATTCCCAGCAACCACATGGTGGTGCACAACCATCTGTAATGAGGTCTGGTGCCCTCTTCTGGCCTGCAGGCATACATGTAGACAGAATATTGTATATATAACAAATAAATAAATAAATAAATAAATAAATAAATAAATAAATATTTTTTAAAAAATGAAAAATTATGCTGGGCCATGGTGGCGCATGCCTTTACTCCCAGCACTCGGGAGGCAGATGCATGCGGGCCTCTGAGTTCGAGGCCAGCCTGGTCTATGAAGCAAGTTCTAGGACAGCCAGGATTGTTATACAGAGAAACCTTGTCTCAAAAAAGCAAAAAATTAAAAACTGAAGGTCTTGGAAGACAGCTCAGTGAGTCAAGTGCTTACAACGCAACCACAGACCTGAGTCAGGAATTCCCACATCCCAGGTAAAGGCCAAGCACAGTAGTACACATCAATAACCCCAATGCTGAGGAGACAGAGACAGGAGGATTCATGAGGCTCCTTGGCCAGCCAGTGTGACTGAACTTGTGAGTTCCAGGTTCAGTGAGAAACCCTCTCTCAAAAGAGTAAGGTGGATGGCAGGTGTGGCAAGGGAGGGTAGAACTCTGTGATCTCAGAGTCAGCCTCGTCCATGTAGCAGGCTCAGAGCCAATCAAGGTGGCGCAGTGAGACATCATCTCAGACAAACAAAACATAAGGTGGAGGAGCTACAGATGTAGCAATGTTTTGTTTCTGTTTAACATATAAAGCTTGCCTGAAGATCAGAGTATGAGCTAAGGCACTTGAGGCCAGGCAGTGGTGGCACACACCTTTAACCCTAGCACTTGGGAGACAGAGGCAGATGGATCTCTGTGAGTTCAAGGCCACCCTGGGCTATGCAAAATCTGTCCAGTCTAAAAGAGAAACAGCTCACACAAAGGTGGTCCCAGCACATGGGATCCCATGCCTTTAATCCCAGCACTAAGGAGATAGAGACAGGAGTGATGACTGGGCAGAGAGGGGACTATAAGGCAGGAGGAGACAGGAGCTCAGAATAGTCTAAGCAGCGTGCAGTCTGAGGACAGGATCACCCCTTTGGTCTGAGCATTGGTAGAGGTAAGAACTCTAGTGGCTGGTGGCTCTGCTTCTCTGATCCTTCAGCTTTCAGCCCCTGACAGCTGACTTAATTATTATTAAGAATAATTAGAATTTGTGCTACATACAGAGATGGATCAGTGCTTAAGAATATATATTGCTTATGGCTGGAGAGATGGCTCAGTGGTTAAAAGCACTGGTTGCTCTTTCAAAAGACCCGGGTTCAACAACTGTGTGTAGCTCCAGCTCCAGGGGATTCGACACCCTTACACCTACATACATGCAGACTGAACACCAATGTACATAAAGTAAAAATAAATAAATCATTTAAAATAAAAAAAGAGCCGGGCAGTGCTGGCACACATTTAATCCCAGGACTTGGGAAGCAGAGGCAGGCGGATCTCTGTGGGACCAGCCTGGTCTACAGAGCGAGTTCCAGGACAGCCAAGGATACATAGAGAAACCCTGTCTCGAAAAACAACAACAACAACTGCCTGGAACTAGTTCCTCTGTCTCTGTGGGTAACCAGACCCTTGTAAACACACACCCACACTCATATTAAATAAAGAACTTTTATTTATATGTACGTGTCTGTGCAGGTGTCCACAGAGGCAGGAAGAGAGCATTGGACACTGTAGCTAGAGTTCCAGGCAGTTGTGAGCTGGCCAGTGTGGGTGCTGGGACCTGGTCTCAGGTCCTCGGGAAGGAAAGCTACTGTCTTCACCACTGAGCCATCTCTTCAGCCCAATAATGATAAATTTTTAGTTTGGGCCCGGGAGCTCACTGTGTAGCTCCAGCTGGCCGTGAACTCACATTGATCAATTGTCCTGCCTCTTGATGCTGGAATGCAAAGCCACCACACCCCCCTCTCGTAATTTTTGTTTCTTTTTTCGAAAGAGGGTCAGCTTATGTAGACCAGGATGGCCTGGAACTCTCTGTAGACCAGGCTGGCCTCGAACTCATAGAGATCCACCTACGTCTGCCTCCCAAGTCCTGGGATTAAAGGCGTGCGCCACCACCGCCCAGCCCCATAAATTTTTTTTTTTAATTAAAAAAATGAAGTGGAGAGAAACTGAGAAATACATCTTCACATCAGCCTCTGGCTTCCACAACAGCCTGCCTAGGTGAGTGGACCTGCGCACATGCGTGTATAGAACATACAAATTAAGTTTTAAGTAAACAAATAGAAACTGAACAAGTAGGTATTTTCCAGGTCTGGAGAGTGGCTCAGTGGTTGGCAGCTCTCCCTGCTCTGACAGAGGACCTGAGTTTGGTGTGTAGCACCACCACCTCCTGGCACACTTTCTTGGTGGCACAGGCCTTTAGTTACAGCACTCAGGGGCAGAGGCGCCAGGTCTTTGTGAGTTCAAGGCCAGCCAGAGTTATACATAGTGAGACCCCCATCCCAAAAATGCAGAAAAATAAAATGAAAACTGAAGATCCTTCCTTGCTAGGCGTGGTGGTACAACCTGTCATCCTAACACTGAGGAGGCAGGAGGATGATACATTCTAGGCCAGCCTTGGACTGCACAGGGGACTCCGCCTCAGTAAAACAACAAAAGCCGACAGGAGACCACACACCTTAGCTCTTGGGTGATGGAGGCCAGCCTGAGAGACACAGAGAAATAACAGGGCTCGAGTCACAAGCCCTGGGTTCAACCACCAGTGTCACAGAAAAAGAAAAAAATAAAAGCCCTTTTCCCCAAGGTGGCATTTTGTAGCGTTGAAGCTGGTGATTTCCAAGTGGGCTTGCCCTATTGTTAGCAAACTCAGCCTTGTGCACGTTTACAGAACTCCTCTGCCTGTCTAGACGCTCTCCTCCAATCGCCTCTGGTAAGCACAAAGGTTTTCATTTGAACTCTTTAGTTGGACATTAACAGTTTTGAATTGCTTGCCTTGCTTTCTGTTGTTCTTGAGACAGAATCTCTCTATGTAGACCAGGGCTCTCTGTGTAGACCAGGCTGACCTGGACTCTCTATGTAGACCAGGCTGGACTTGAACTCAGCTTCCCCCTGCCCCTGCCTTTGGAGTGCTGAGATTAAAGACTGAGCCACCACTCCTGGCTATGCTTTTCCTTCTTGCTTCCTCTTTTAATAATAAGAAAACAAGGAGAGAACTTTCCCAGATGGGCAGAGGACAGATTTTATGTCCCAGGATGTGGGGTGACCTTTAAAACCTCAGCTGTGGGTGGTCTGTTGGCCCCTGTGCTGCGCAGGCTGATCATTGAGCTCTGAGTGTCTTCACTTTTATTTTCGGTCTGTTGACTTTTCTCCTGAGGAAAAGAAAATGAAAGAAGCATCTATCAGTAGAGAAACGAGATATCCGTAACACACAGTCACTAAAAACTGGAACTCGTCTGTCTACATGTACTGACAGGGAAAGATCTTCATGTCTTCCCAAAAACAAAGTCACAGAGGGAGGAGAGCGGCTGTGAGCTACAGAGCCTGCCTAGAATCCCCCAGCGAGGGGCTGGGGTGTGGCTCAGTGGTAGAGCCCCTGCCTAGAATCCCCCAGTGAGGGGCTGGGGTGTGGCTCAGTGGTAGAGCACCTGCCTAGAATCCCCCAGCGAGGGGCTGGGGTGTGGCTCAGTGGTAGAGCACCTGCCTAGAATCCCCCAGCAAGGGGCTGGGGTGTAGCTCAAGGGGAGACCATTTGACTAAAATTCCAGACTGCCTTCAAAGTCGCTCTGTAATTTAGGATAGCCTTGAACTTTGGATCCTTTTGCCTGTTGCTCACACGTGCTGGGATTACAAGTGTGTAGCACCCCTTTTAAGATTTATTTTTATGTCTTTGTCTGCATGTGGTCTGATGAGGGCCGTGCACCTGTGCGGTGGGGGTGTGCCCTCGGATGCCAGAAGAGGAAATCCTATCCTGCCGGAGTTACAGACAGTCAGGGTCTGAGACTGAACTAGGGTCCTCTACAAAAGCTGCAAGTATCCTTAACCCTGAACCAGCTCGCCAGCTCTCTCTTTTTCTTAAGATTCATTTTATTATTACTTTAAAGTGTGTGTGTGTGAATGTGCATGTATGTGTGAGTGTGTGTGCGTGTATCTATGTGTGTGTGAGTGTATGTGTGTGTGTGTGTGTGTAAGGGTATGTGCATATGAATGCAGTTGCCAGTGGAGGCCAAAGGCACTGGATCCTGTGGAGCTGGAATTGCAAACGGTTGTGAGCTGACGCATGTGTTGGCAACAGAACTCAAGACCTCTGCAAGAGCGGTACATACCTCTTCTCACTGGGCCGTCTCTCCAGCCTCCCAGCCCATTCTAAAGTCATGTGGGCACTAAACCCAGGGCATCACACATCCTTGTCTAACCCTGGGATCCATGAGCCAACACCACCAACACCTAGGCCAACATTTCTTGTGTCTACTCCCTAATCCCAGATCTCTGTGTGTGGGCTTTATTATCTGAAGAATCCACAGTGAGCCTTTGGCAAGGAATCCTGACCTGTCGAGGCATGTGTGTGCGCACACAGGGACGCACACACGCTCACCACCTTCTCTGCTGCCCAGAGGGTGTGCATTCCAAGAAGGCTGTTCTTACAGGAAGTAATGTTTTCCTCATACCTAGCTTGTTAGGCACGGGGTATAAATGCATAAACCAGATCCCAGACTTCAATCTTGGCGCCTTACTGTTTTTTTGTTTTTTTTTTTTTTTTTTTTTTTTGCTAGTAGGTCTTACTATGTAGCCCAAGTTGGCTTCAAAATTGTGATCCTCCTGCCTCTGTCTCCTGAGTGATCCTGTGACAGAATAGCTAGACTACAACTGATAATGTTTCAGAGGACCATGCTGGGTGCATGATGGAGCGAACAGGCTGAGGGCTGAGCTCAAAAAGTGTAACAATACAAAGGACTTACAGCCAAGGGTGTGGTGACCCACGCTGGAGTTCCAGCTACTCGAGGGGCTAACACAGGAAGATGGCAAGTTCAAAGCTAGCCGGGTCACCTCAGCCAGATCCATCTCAAAACTAAAACAGATCAGTGGGTGGCCCTTGCCACTAAGCCTGAAGACTAGAGTTTGATCCCAGGGACCCACATGGTGGAAGAGCAAAAGTGACCCCACTACCATGCTTTGGTGTGTGCATGTGTGCACACATACATATAAATAAATGTAATGGAATAAATACATGGTGAAAAAGTCTAATGATATTTAGTTCTGTGGTAGAACACTTGCCCGGCCTCCCCTAGAGAGGAGCTAGGGGCAGGACTCAGCAGAGGGGTGTTTTCCTAAACAACAAAACACAAACATACTCAGTCATGGCTGGCCTTAAAGCTAAACAAGCATGACCACTAACCAAGAATTATTGCCTGGCCCATTTCAAAGGTTATTGCAAACGTGAGGACTTCTGTTCAGGAACTGGTTTTCAATTCTACCCTTTCCTCTGTGTGTGATATCAGGCCTTGGGTCCAGACCTTGTGCTAGGCCTGCCCTCTACCACTAAGTATATCTTTTTGTTTTTATTTTATGTGCATATTTTGCCTACATGTATGTCCAGGCTCTTCAAACATGCACTGTTTTGGGAAACCAGAAGAAGATGCTGGGTCCCCTAGAACCTGAAATTACAGATGGTTGTGAGCCACCATGTGGTTGCTGGGAATTGAACTTGGGTCCTCTGGAAGAGCAGCCAGTGCTCTTAACTGCTGAGACATTTCTCCAGTCCCACCCCACCATTCTTGATTTTTATTTCTTGACAGAGTCTCATTAAGCTGCCTAGGTTTATCTTTTTATTTATTTATAATGAATTACTGTTATTATTATTTGTCTCACTATATAACCCTGGCTGGTCTGGAGCTCATTACATAGATCAGGCTGGCTTCTAACTCACAGACATCCTCCTGCATGTGCCTCCTGGGTGGTAGGATTAAATGCCACCATTAATTTTTGTTTTATGTATTTAGGTATTTGCCTGCATGTATGTGTATGTACCGTGTCGGTCCAGTGCCCAGGAGAGACCAGAAGAGGGCAGTGGATTTTCTGGCACAGGAGTTAAAGACAAATGTGAGCCATCATGTGGTTGCTGGGAATGAACCCAGGACATCTGCAAGAGCAGCAAGTGCTCTTAACTATTGAGTCATCTCTTCAACCCCCTAATTTTTTTTTAAGATTTTATTTATTTATTATGTATACAACATTCTGCCTCCGTGTATGCCCGCATGCCAGAAGAGGGAGCCAGATCTCGTTACAGATGGCTGAGAGCCACCATGTGGTTGCTGGGAATTGAACTCAGGACCTCTGGAAGAGCAGCCAGTGCTCTTAACCTCTGAGCCATCTCTCCAGCCCCTTCAACCCCCTAATTAAGAAAAAAAAAGTAGACTCTTATGTAGCTCAAGTTGGCCTAGAAGTGTCTACGTGGCTGAGGTTGACCTTGAGTTCCTGACTCTCCTGCCTCCCTGCCCTGAGTGTTGGGTTGACAGACAGGCACACCGCCACACCGTCACACCTAGTTTTATGCTGTGCTGGAGCTGGGGCATGGACTCATATATCCTCCACTGCATATTGAGTTTGAGGTCCTGCTTGGCCACATAACCCTGTCTCAAAGAAAGAAGAGATTGGGCTGGGCATGGTGGTACATGTAATTTTAGCACACTCTGGAGGGAGAGGCATCTGTATCTCTGAGTTCACGCACAGCGGTGTGGTCAATACTGCCAGTACCATAGGATTGGGCCTACACCCTGAGACCCTGCCTCAAACAAACAAAAACACAGAAAAGATGGGGGAAGGGTTTATGAGGCCTCACACTGAAAAGAAGAGCTGTTGGCAATGATGGCAGCTGGGGAAAGGGGAGTCAATTTTTCTTTCTTTCTCGATTTTATTTATTTATTTTTTGTTTGTTTGTTTATGTGCGTGTGTGTGTGTGTGTGTGTGTGTGTGAGAGAGAGAGAGAGAGAGAGAGAGAGAGAGAGAGAGAACATGCATGTGAGTGCAGATACTCAGGGAGGCCAGAAGAGGGCGTCAGATCTCCTAAAGCTGGAGTCACTGGCCATTTTAAGCCCCTAGGCAGAGGAGCTGGGAACTGAACTCAGGTCCTCTGGGAAAGCAGCTAGCAAGCACTCTTGGCCACTGAGCCCTTGCACCAGCCGAGAGTCATTTTTCTTCTGACCATCACCCCTGTTAGTTGTCCACACTCTAGTGGATGACCCCGCACCCAGGCATAGTGGGCAGAACTAATCAGACTCAGTGAGTTAGGAGAGCTCACGAGGGCATGAAGAGGGGAGTGGGACATGTGGGGACACAGGGAAAGACGGTGGGTGGGGGCAGGTATAATCACGGTACATTGTATACATGCATGAGGTTGACTAAGAACAAGTAAAGATAGTCTAAGCCAGTGTCCTCAACCTTCCTGATGCTGCGACCCTTTAACACAGTTCCTCATGGTGGGGTGACCCCCAACCATAAGACTGTTTCATTGCTACTCCATAGCTGTAATTCTGCTACTGTTATGAATTGTAAAATAGCCGATATGTGGAAGATGTGATATGAGGGATATCAGATACGTGACCCCCAAAGGGGTTTCAATCCACAGGTTGAGACATGCTGGAATAAAAAAAAAATGCTGGGTGTATTGGCACATGTCTTTAACTCCTGTTCTGAAGAGGCACATGTATCACCCAGGGCTTGATGGCCAGGCAGCCAAGCGGGGGAGACTAAACAAACAAACAAACAAACAAAACCAAAACAAAACCCCCAATGGGCTGCAGAGAAGGTTAGGCAGGTAAGAACACACGCTGCCATGCTGCCCTCGCAGAGGACCTGGATCTCATTAGCACCTACCTGGTGGCTCACAGCCATCTTTAACTCTCGTCCCAGGGAATCTGGCTCTTCTGCCTCCCACAGGCACCAGGCGTGCACATATAATATATGCAGGCAAGAGATTCATACCCATAAGATAAAAACATACAAATCTTTAAAAAACCAAACAATGACAGGGCCAGACAGATGGCTCAGCAGGTAAAGGTGCTGACTACCAAAAGATGACATGAATTCAGTCCCCAGAACTCACACAATGGAAGAGAGAACCAACTCCTGCAATTGTACTTAGACGTCCACATTGTTGCTGTAGTTCTCTCTCTCTCTCTCTCTCTCTCTCTCTCTCTCTCTCTCTCTCTCTCTCTCTTACACACACATATATACCAAATAAATATTTTGAAAGTGTTTTTGTTTTTTGAGACAGGGTTTCTCTGTGTAGCTTTGGAGTCTATACTGGAACTTACTCTGTAGACTAGGCTGGCCTTGAACTCACAGAAATCCACCAACTTCTGCCTCCCGAGTGCTGGGATTAAAGGCATGCACCACCGCTGCCTGGCTGGAGCACTGGTGCATAAAACCCACCCATCGTGATATATGCCTGTAATCTTAATATTAGGGGACGGAAGGATCAAGAGTTTACGGTCATTCTCAGCTCCACAGTGACTTCAAGGTCATCAAGGATTACATGAGACCCCCATCTCAAAAATTAAAATTAAATCCTTCTTCAAAATGGAAGAGACCAAGGTAGGCATGGTGGTAGTACCATAGAGGCCAAGGCAGAAGAGGCCTGTGGAGTCTAGGCAAGCCTGGACTACAAAGGAAGTCTCTCTCAGAACATCGGCAAAGCTAAGCATCAAAACCCAAGGCACAGAGGGCTATAGGGGGTAAAATCATATGAAAAATAGAGATGGGGCTGTAGCTCAGCTGGCAGTGCCCTCCTAGCATGCACAAAGCACTGCATTCATGATATCAACTGGGCTTGGAGCTGACTGTGATCCCAGTATCGGAAGTTCAAAGCTATCCTAAGCTTATCGGGAGTTGGGGTTCAGCCTGGGTTACAGGAGACCCTGTCTAAAAATAGGGTCAACTTCCTGTGAAGTCTGGGCCATGGGTGGCTATGGGTGACCCTCCCCTTCCTGTTCCCTCCCGCTGCCTGCGTACTGTGGTGGGGGGGGGGGTGGAAGGTTTACCAGGGCCTGTAGACCAGGGTGCTCAGACCATGAGCTTCCTCTTTGAGCATTCCCCATTTCTCACATGGCAGTTTCTTTTCAAAGTGACAGCTGGGATGATGTCCCTGTTGAGTGGTCACTCTTTGGATGCTGGTGCCCAAAGCCCAAAGCCACCTTGTGACCCACTTAATGACTGTGCCCAGGGAATGTCTCTGGAGGAGACGGAGGGAGAGATGACTCAGATATGGTACAGAGAGGGAAAAAACTTTTTTTTTTTTTTTGGGTTTTGTTTTGTTTTTCAAAATGGGGTTTCTCTGTATTGCAATCCTTGGCTGTCCTGCCTGGAACTTGTTTTGTAGACCAGGCTGTCATCAAACTCAGAGATCCCCCTGCCTCTGCTGGGATTAGAGGTGTGGGAGGGCCTCCTGTGCGCGTCCCAGGCCACTCCGGTGTTCTCCAGGCAGCTCCCAGCCATGCCAAGTTAACATCAGCGGAGTGGAGCTAGCTGCGGAACATAGATGGGGACATGATGATCCCATAAGTATCACTTCCCGCTCAGGGAGAGACCCTGGGAACCCTTGAGTTTCCACAGCCGCTGCGGGGAACTGCAAAGGTTCAGGATAAAGCCGGTCCACCGGACTGGGTTGTTAGGTATTACAATACCTGTAATCCCAGCACTTGGAAGTACTTATGTATTTCCGGGGCAGCCTGGACTACATGAGACCTAGGAAAAAAGAAAGAAAAAAGTTAAAAAAAAAAAAAAAAGGAGGGGCGAGGGGCACGGTTCTGTAGTAGAGCTCCCTTGCCTAGAATGCCCCCACTACACACACATTTCCCCCACACGTACCCCCTTAGGTACACCTAGGGGAGCTATTGAGGGGCGTGGACAGTAGAGAATCTGAATCAGCTGGGGGAAAGGAGAATGGAGGAGCCCGCCCCCGCCCCGGAGGGGTGGGAGGCGGGGTTAGGAGGGCAGGTTCAACAGTATCCCGGGGCTCGCTTCAAGGACACTGGAATCGCAAACCCGAGCTCCAGCTCCCTGTGCCTCCACGTTGAACACCAACCAGTACCAGTACCTCCCGCTCGGTCCTGGTCCTCCACCTCAACCTGTAGCGGAGGTGGAGGTAGGCGGGTCCCCAAGTAAGCGTTGTCCCAGACATCCCAGTTCTGGACAGCCCCGGCTCAGATGTCACCGCTCCTTCAACTGCCCGCAAATATTTACATCCTGTTTATGCCAAGGCCTCCCAGGGCCTCCATTTTCATGAATAAAATATGAGTTTCTAGGCCAAGCTTAGAAGGGAAGAAACCCAGGCCAGCCAGCTGGTAGGGACCAGAAGTGGTTTAATATTTTGGTTGCTGTCGCCTCCCGTATGGGATTTTGAGGGACTTTTCCTCTGTGGTCAAGGAGACCAGAGGCAGGAGATTTTTGTGGCATTTTCTGTATTTCTTGGCCATTTCCTGAAATTAGACCACCAAGCTTTGTTCACAGGTCTGTTTCCAGAGGAACACAAAACTTTCTTGTTTTCCTTTTCTTTTTGGTTTTTAAAGACAGGGTTTCTCTGCAGTTTTGGAGCCTTTCCTGGAAACTCTTATAGATCAGGCTGGCCTCGATCTCACAGAGATGCACCTGCCTCTGCTTTCCAAATGCTGGGATTAAAGGCGTGCGCCACCATCACTCCGCTTCTTTTTCTTTAGTTTGTTTTTCTATTCTTTCTTTTTTTTTCTTTCTCTTATGTGTGTTTGTGTTTTGCCGTGGGTATTAGGTCCCGGAGAACTGGAATTACAGTTGTGAGCTGCCATGTAGGTGCTGGAAATTGAATCCCGGGCTGTCTGGAAGAGCAATCTTAACCACTGAGCCATCTCTCCAGCCCCATCCTAATCTTTAAAAAAACATTCATTTTATTTATTTTTTGACTAAGTGTCGTGTAGTCCAAGTTGTCCTGGAACTCACTTCATAGCCTCCTGCCTCGGTCTCTGTTGGGTGTGGGATTACAGGCATGCACCCCTGCTCCCACTTCTGGGGTGCTGGCATAGAACCTTGGACTTCCTGCCTGGTAGACAAGCTTGCTACCCACCTCGCTCCGGTTACAGTCCTTGTTAATCTTTTCAAAAATGCATTTAATGCGAGTGTTCTGCCTGCATGTCGGTCACCGCATGCACAGTGTCCTTAAGGCCAGAAGAGGGCGCCAGGTCCCCTCGAACTGGAGTTAAAAGACCAGTGTGAGCCTCCACGTGTGTGCCGGGAACCAGACTCTGGCCATCTGGAGGTGTAGCCAGTGCTCTCAATGCTGACCCAGCTCTCCAAGCCCTTTCTTTTGTTTTTGTTTTTTATTGAGACAGTTTTACTGTGCAGCCTCTCCTACTCACAGACCCAGCCGTCTCTGCCTCCCAACTCCGGGGATCAAAGACATCTACCGCTTTGCCGGGCTGTCCTGGTTTATCTCAGCTATAGGGGCTCAGTGGAGCCCAGGCTTTCCTATAGTTTGAGGCAGTCCTCTTGCCTCAGATTCACAAGTGCTGAGAAAGCAAGTATGAGCCACTACACATGAATGCGCATGCGCGCGCACTGGTGCAACTACACAGCAAAGGCTTTTCTTAATCTTTCGGAAATAGTATAATCAAGTCAGAACATTTTGTAGCTAGAGGGGTAAAGGGTGAGGGATGTTTAGGCAGGAGATGATCTTTTTCCAAAGCTTTTATTTAGACGCTAGGAAACACAGATTCAGAGGGCCAGGACTGGCAGTTCATCAGGGATGGTTTATTTATTTAGTGTGTGTGCCTGTGAACTTGAGACTTGGCACTCAACTGGAGGTCAGAGGATAGCGTTCAGGAGTTGGTCTCTTCTCAGTTTGTGGGTTCCTGTACCCACTGAGCCATCTCATTACCCTCAAGTACAATTTTTATCTTATTTATTTATTTATTCATTCATTTCGAGGCAGGGTCTTAGGTAGCCCAGGCTGATTCTGAACTCACTATGTAGCTGAGGATGATTCTGAACTTTCTGCCTTCACCTCCCATGTGCTAGAGTTACATGTGTGCATTGCCACACCCTATCCCCCCTCCCCTTTTCTTTTTTTTTGAGACAGGATCTCTATAAAGCTCAGACTGGCTTTGAACTCATGATCATTCAGTTTCTGTCTGCTGAATATTTGAATTATGTGTTTGCTACCATGCCCTATTTTTTAAAAAAATTATGTGTGTGTGTGTATGTGTGTCATGTGAGTGCAGGTACCCATGGAGGACAGAGGAGGGTGCTGTAGGCCCTTGAGCTGGAATTACATGCAGTTGTGCACTGCTGGACTTGGGTGCTGGGAACCCAATTCAGATCCTCTGCAAGAGCAAAAGATGCTCCGAACTGCTGAGCCATCATTCCAGCCCTGGTTTTAATTTTGGTCCAAATAAGAATATTCCAATTTTCCCTCATTTTCAAAGTGGCCTAACAGAGTGAAACATTTTGTTGTTGTTGTATGGGAAAGGCAATTATGATTTAGAAACACTGGAATTAGCCGGGCAGTGGTGGCGCACGCCTGTAATTCCAGCACTCGGGAGGCAAAGACAGGCGGATCTCTGTAAGTTCGAGGCCAGCCTGGTCTACAAAGGGAGTTCCAGGACAGGCTCCAAAGCTACAGAGAAACCCTGTCTCGCAAAAGCAAAAAAAAAAAAAAAAAAGAAACACTGGAATTGGTAGACCTGGTAGCTAATGCCTGTAATTCCAGCACTGGAGAGGCTGAGGCAGGAGGACCACTTCTAATTCCAAGCTGATCTGGGTTACAGAGAGAATTCCAGGCCAGCCTTGGCTATAAATTGTGACCCTGACAAAAATTTTTGTTTTGTTTTTTTGAGACAGGGTTTCTCTGTGTAACAGTTTTGGCTGTTCTGGAACTCCCTTTGCAGACCAGGCCTGATTCAAATTTCAAAGAAAAAAGAAGTGTGGCTGGGAAACAAAACAGGAAGTTCCCAGCTTAAAAAGGACCATCTGGGAATGTGCTAGAATCAGGCCTGCTGTGGCCCAGGCTCCCAGGCTGCTGGTTTTCCCCATTCCTTCCGGGTGTGTGTATATGTGTGTGTGTTTGTGTGTGGTGTGCACGTGCGCGCGCGCGCGCGCGTGTGTGTGTGTGTGTGTGTGTGTGTGTGTGTGTGTGTGTTCTGGGCTTAGGGAGGAGAGAGGCACTGGGGACTATTGGAAGCCCTGTGTTTGACCTGCCCTTCCTGCAGTGTCCTGGGAGCTGTGGGCTACACGATAATATAAGGGAAGGCAAGAGTAGCGCATGTTGGGTCAGCATGGAACCTGCCTGGGCAGACTGAGAGGATGTAGCTGTCAAGGCTGGGGGTGATGACTCAATTGTGTGGGTGTTGCTCCGTAGAGAGGGCCTGAGGATGCCTGGTTCCAGCTGTGTGGGCTCCTGGAATGTGTAGCCGCTCTCCCAGGGAGCGCTGCCTGGCTGGAGCCTCACTTCCGCTCCTCGGTACTAATTGGTCCCTGGCAGCCCTGGCTCCGGGAGAGCAACCGTCGCTGCATCCTGGAGACCTCCTGACCTCATCTCCTACGTAGACACCATCTTGAATGCTAGCTTGACGAATCTGGAAACACCCAGAGAGAAGGCTTTGCTTCTCTGTGAGGGAGTTTCTAAGAAGGCTCACACTGAACGTGAGTGGCATCATGGGCTGAAGTCCTGGACTAAATGAGGAGGAGAAAGTGAACCATGCACCAGCATTCGGCTCTTTTTGCTTCTTGACCTCATGGGCAACGGGACCAGGCCTCATGGCTCCTGCAGCTGTGACATTTCTATCATGAATGGCTGTATGCCCTTAAACTGTGAACCAAGATAAACCCTTGCTCACTTTTGTTGTCGCTGTTGTTCGGTATTTTAACTAACACGTCCTCTTTTGTCCTTTGTTGCTCTCTAAGACTCCAAAGTATCATACCACACCCCGCGTGGTGGTGTGGAAGAAAATGGTCCCTCAAAGGGAGGGGCACTATTCGGAGGTGTGGTCTTGTTGGAGTAGGTGTGGCCTTGTTTGAGGAAGTGCGTGATTGTGGAGGTGGGTTTTGAGGGCTCATATATGCTCAAGCCATACCCTGTGATGCGGATCACTTCCTGTTGCCTTGAGTAAAAATGTAGGACTCTGTTACTTCTCCAGCACCATGTCTGTCTGCACGTCACCATGTTGCACAGTGATGATGATGGTGAACCATTAAACCTCTGAAAATGTAAGCCACCCCAGTTAAATGTTTGCTGTGGGATGATCCTTCTGCACACTGTGAATATCTATTACTCTCATTGGTTAATAATAAAGCTGTTTGGCCTATAGCAAGACAGGAAAAGGTTAGGTGGGACAACCAAACTGAGGACTGAGATGAAGAGTCGAGAGATGTCAGCCAGCAAACTGCCCAAGAAGCCAGATGCTAAAGAACTGGTAAAGCCATGGGCCATGTGGGCAATACACAGATTAATAGAAATGGGTTAATTTAAACGTAAGAGCTAGTTAGTAATAACCAATCCATTTGATAAGTGAGATAGCTAACAGGATTGTGTATATGACATGGATGCTATGTGTATCAATCAGTCTGCAAAGAAGGCTATTAGTAGACTTAACAGGAAGGTAGCATATATACCATGGAAACACTCAGCAAAGAGACAACTCACATCCCAGGTAAGACGGACGGAGAGATGGAGAGATGGGGACTGTGAAAGATTCCATCATGCTACTTAAAATGGCACAGCAATTTACATTTATGAATTGTTTCATGTGTATGCATGTGTGTGTGTGTGTGTGAGAGAGAGAGAGAGAGAGAGAGACAGACAGACAGACAGACAGACAGACAGACAGACAGAGAGCCTGAGAATCTCACTATATGGCTCAAATTGGTCTCAAACTTACACTTTCCCTATCTCTGCCTATTCAACTCTGAGTTTCAAGCCTATGGTTTCTAGAAGTCTCCTTTTCTACGGTGGTTTGGCTATAGGTAACTGCAACTTCAGCAGGTGGAACTCAGGTTGTGGGGATGTGGAGGGGTAGAGATATAGGGAGCAATGGGGATGGGGTGGGGTGTGATGCTACTTACAGCTCACCAAGTTCTTACCAAGTATGTGAAAAGTTCTAGGGGAAAAAAAAAGGTTATCTTGCTTTGTTGCCCCAGATTCCCGTTGCAGGAGGTGCTGCCATGTCCCCATTTTTCAGAGGGAGACTGGAGCATGCAGAGGGAAAAGGGCTGTGGTTTACGTCACACAAAGAATAGGTGTGGGCAGCGCGGCTCTGAAGAGCCAGCCTGCTTCCTTCATGAGGCTAGGAAGGCAGAGGTGAGGCT